GGTACTCTGCAGTGGGGGTTGAGTGGTGTGGTTTTACGACCCTCGAGACTCGACCGGGACGGCGGAGGCTTGACACGGTAATATCGGCGAGGCATGCAGTTAGCACGGGACATGGAGACGGGCCAGGGCTCTGGTGGTCATACATGTGGTGAGACAACTGCGAATTTGACTCGGGGTGACTAAAAGCAACGGTGAAATTCCTTCATGTTTCAGACAGGCGGTCAAGAAAGGGGCGGTGATGTTGAGTTCAGGTAACTCTTATGTGTGACACCCAGTATGTGAGTTGTTCACTTTCATGCAGGATCGGTGTGTGATGGCGTTGGACGGATACTCTGAAAGTTGTGAGCACAAGCTAGAATAACAAGGAACTTAATTTTGTTCGAGTGTTGCCTGTGGTCAAGAAAAGAAGGGACTACAAGTTGCAGGTGGAGTCACATGAAGTCTTTGGAGTAGCAGCCGTACTCACGGGATAAGCTCAAGTCCAATGTACATGGAAGTTTGACGCATTAACGAATTCATGGTGGTGGAGAATATTCGCCAAGGTGGAGTTTGTTAGAGTTGTGTCGAATATAGTGTACAAGGTAGGTTACAATTGGACTTGTAGTTGTATTGTGTTTACATAGGATATGGAGTCGTATCCTAGTAGGACATTTGTATCCTACGCCTCTCATATATAGCAGGGGTAGACACACGATGTAACTTATGCTAACATAATAGCATCGGAACGCAGGGGAAGCCGGCGGCATGTGCCGGTGTCCAGGGCGACCGGGTGCGGTATTGTAGCGGTGTCACGGGGAGGAGCGCCCGTAGTCAGGCCCCGAGGATGTAGCCATATCGGTGAACCTTGTTAACAAATCTTGGTGTCGTGCTCGTGTGATTGCTTGGTCTTCGGATGATCGACGGTATGCCTCGGATTTATTCTAACAAGAAGGCGTTGGAAATACAACTCGCTCCATCCAAGGACCAGTTGGCAGATATATTCATCAGGGCATTGCCGGTTGATGTGTCTAACAGATTAAGGTTCAATCTCAACTTTTCCGCAAAAAATAAAGGTTCAATCTCAACTTAGTCTATGTAAAGTTGTAAGTGAAGGGGGGCCGTAAAACCAGTTAAGAGTTAGTAAGGGCCTGTTCGGACTCCCTCCCGCTCTCCAACTCCGCTCCGGAGCGGAGCAACATGCAGTGTTAATTTGAGGAGCTGCTAATATGGTACTCCACCCGCTCCGCTCCTGAATGGAGGAGTGGAGGGCTACCGAACACAGCCTAAGACTGTTAGAATCCTACCGAATTACGCTAATAATCTTGTTGTACAAGTTAGTATCTTGTAATCTGTTGGTAGTCTTAACAACTGACTATTGTCTGACATGCTACTATAAAAATATACAGCCCAGATCAAAACCATGAGCTATCGAACCAATTCCCTAATCGATGCAATCTACGTATGATTCAATCCCATAGTACCAACAAAAACCAAATTAAGAATTGGCTCCTCTTAATTACGAAAGGTGTTGACAACATCAGTGCCTAGCTTGGCCAGCGTATGCACAAACGGTCGATGGAGCCTTGTTAACTTTGGGCTTCAATATTAACCAGGTATGAACTGATCATGCATGCATGGTTCTCTTCTCTTGCCAGTAAGAATGGCTCGGGAGCCCAACAAAATTCTGCACTTCTGCCTGCAAAACTAATTTGTAGCAATTCATCCTTTAGAAGCGCACGTATACCGTCAAGCTTAACTGAAAACTTCTTTAACATTGGCACCTATCAATATGTAATTCACTGTTTGGATATTGGTCAAGTGATAAATTATACTTATGTCTCATGAAAAAATAGTTTTCATAACATCATGATTATATAGTTCAATATTAACATATTCATACGATATATAACGGTCGAAAATGCACACTGTAGAGGGGGTATATCTACTAGGCATTAACAAGTAATATGAATAAACAAACAATGATCCATTTGGAATGCTGGAACTTCAGTAGAAAACGGTTAATTTCCATGAGGTTCAAGTGAAATTTCAATGATTCAAACAAATTATTTAGGAGAAAAATCAATGAATGTGAACAGTGAAAGGATAGTCAGACACATTTATGAAATGTCTGCTAAATCCAAACATCATGATTCTTTTGATGAAGTGTCCACTATTACCATTTCTATGTCACATACCTAACTAATAGTCACTGAATGAGTGGAATATATGTACATACAGAAGAAGATAAACATATAGGTGATGCAACAAGATGAATGCACAGGATGAAATGATGTCTAATGCACCGGGCTGAAGCATTAGGTAATGCATTAGACTGACATATTTGGACAAATGAACAAATATAAAGGAACAAGATGGCATTCAGGTAGTATTCAGTTATGGTTAGGTTAAAAAGCTAGGCTGCTGATGTACTAAAAGCAACTAAAAGTGATCCCGACGAAAGACCGCAATCAACACTGATTCTGTTCTCCCCTTTATATTTTGGGTGTCAATATAAAATTTGACTCATGATTGAGATATATGATACCGATAACTCGTCTCTAAAGAGATGGTGATGACTTATCATCATGAGTCATGCTACAAATTCAAATACTAAAGTGACGACTGAATGTTGAGAACATAGATTTGTAGAAGTATAAAAAATATAAACTGAATATATTCCCAATTACTAGATTTGCTAGTAAGGATTACTCCAGGTTAGAAAATATTCTACAATTACTGTTATAACCACACGCAAAAAAAAGATGGTCAAACATTAGATTTGCTTTCCCCGCAAAAAAAACAACATTAAATTTGCTAGTAAGGATTACTCGCAAACATTAGAGGAGAGTCAAAGATATGAAAGAAATCATGGTTAATTAAGGATAAGTTTAACACACTGAAATTTAATCTAGGACAACTACAATACTTTAGTATGTGTTTTCGATTTCCCATCATATGCTCTATACTTCAAATTAATTAGCATGGTCTACTAAACTATAACTCTCTTTCTATTCAGAAAGTTCTTTAGTGTGACTAGTTATAGTTTAGGGAGAACTACACCTTTTTGGCCCTTCCTCTTCATTCAACTGGCCGTGATGCCAGAGAAATGAGCCAATTCGCCAACGCAAGAGCTGAGCAGCATGAGTGCATGGCATGGCTCTTTTTAAGGAACCAATTAAGAAGGCATGCATGCTAAGATCCCAATGCAATCAGGCTAGAGAGCGAGGGGGTAGACATATGGGTCCATATGTCCCAAAGGAAAATGATACATGCTCACATATCCAGGAGGCAACTCAACAAGAGAGGTTTAAGGATATGTTTTTGCCATCTAAAAGGGGTGCCGGTGTTGAGAAATCCCATAATTTTGTTTTGAGGGGACAGGGGTCCAGGAACTGGGAATGGCATGCGTTGATGCATGGGGATCATGCATGATGCCATTTTCCATATGCTTCCTGTGGGACAGCTTACCAGCATATCTCTTGAACTAGGTCTACAAACCTTCTCCTTGGGCAGAACGTACTAGGAGACACGTACTACATTTTCTTCTTGTTTCAAACTAGTTTCACAAAATTGTACGTACATATAACTGTAAACTATCAGTATTTAGTAAACCGCACCTTTAAGTTTTCATTGAACAGAATGGCAACCACTACTGCGGGTTTTTATCAGAAAAAACACATTTGATATTTTCTTTCAGTAAACCGCACATTTAGGTTTTCGTTCAACAGAATGGCGACCTCTACTGCGGTTTTGTATCAGAAAAAACTCACTTGATATTTTATTTATTTCTTTAGCTTTACCGCAGCAGTGCGCGTATTAGAGAAGTACTAGCCAGCTATACATAGTGGTACCTTCATGCATAATACTACAATTAATTAATGGGTTACTAATGTACCGGCCTTTCACAGCACACAAGAGTCTGATCATTACCTCTAATAAGTACACTAAAAAGGGAAGGCTACCCAAGCATGATTAGTTTATGGTTAGTGGCGGCCAAAGCATGATTAGTTATAACAAAAAAACACCAAGGGGAGCAAGTGAAATGCAGGGATAAATTTAAAAAATGAACTCAATCCACAAGATCCTCTATTGCTTGATGTTGAACAGATCAATTGTGTGTAGCTAGACCTAATTGTTTTTGTAAAGACAGGGCCATGCATTTCTCTTTAGTTAGTAGCATCACAAAAGCGAGAAATTAATCCAGATATGCATCAAAACTGTCATAACACGTCCTTTTAAAATTCAAAGTACATGGCGTCCTAGGAAGTGCGGAGACAAACTTATATATCTTCAATCACAAATTAATTAATATGAAAAAATAAAGAGTTTTTTGATAAAAATTGTGCCATTGGATTTTTTATGAAAAATAGTTTCACGATATTTAAAAAATGATCTATACTTCAACATTCATACAAAAATAGTGGTCAAATCTGCACACCGGAGACGGTACAAATTCGGAAACACCATCCACTCTAGAACATATTTTAAGTAGTAATTAGCAATCTATAGCAACTCCACCAATATGGATTGGAGAGGGGAGGTTGAACAAACAACAAAGTGGAAGTAAATAAAGATAGATGAAGATGTAAAGCAAAGAAGAAATAACTGAAAGTATTAGTTAGTGGTGGTAGAAGGTTTACCAGGTCGAGTGCCAAAAGATCCTCTCCCAGATCTCCCAATGGCGATTGGCGCCCTCTCCAGTTCCCATGCAACGCGTCCACCGATCATGCACAACCTCCTCTTCTTCAATTCGTCTTCGCCTTCGTCGACATCCCCTTCTCTTCTCCACTGGTCCTTGCATGCATGCACATCCCCATTCTCAGTTCCCTCCCAAACCTCACCGAAGCCATTTGAGCAGCCGCAAGATCAAGCACCGATCTTCTTGCTGCCGGCCTCCAACTTGCTCGATCGGGTTCCATATACTTCATTGCGGCAATGCGATGCAGTAGCTAGCTTGGGAGCAAGAATCCATCAATGGAGCACGCGAGAGGTCCAACACCATGGATAGATCACTTGCATTGCTAGTGCCACGAAGAGACCGACATGAGCGTCCGCGTCTGCCAGCCGAGGAAGCACGCGCCGCCGGCCTCCTCCGCCGCATACCCCTCCGACGGGTAGTGCAGGCGCAGCAGTAGCCGCGCCTGCGACACCGCGAACGTGCTGGCCGGCCACGGAGAAAGCCCCGCGGCGCGCGCGGCGGCCGTCCACGCTTCGAAGCTGCGGGGCCGCCCACCGCCGCTGCCGGGGCCAGCCACCACCGCGTCGATCTCTGTGCCGAGGATCTCCTGCTCCACCGCCAGCCGTTCCGCGCTGCCCGGCGGCACCGTGGCCTCCAGCGCGTCGAACACCGCCGAGTAGAAGTCCATCGCCGCGGCCACCCGCCGCGGTAAGTCGTCGTCGTCCTCTCCTCGGCCGGCTTCGCCTTGCCTCTCGGCGATGGTCACCACGGCGGGGTTCATCGAACGGACCCACCTCAAGAATGCGGTGAGCTCACCGTCGCCGGAGAGCCTGTGGAGGAATAGCACGCAGTTGACGGCCAGAGTCTCGTCCGGGTGCAGCTCAAGGCAGGCGGCCGGGTCGGCGGCAAGCTGAGCCGTGCAGGGAAGGAGCAGCGGGTGGAAGCGGAATGGGAGGTTGAGGGAGCTGGCGAAGGCGCGGAGGCGGTCGCCGGTGCGAAGGAGCACATCGAGGTCAGGGCCGGCGCCGGTGATCCTGACCTCGGGCGGGCCGACGGCGGCGTCAGCGCGGTCGCATATGGCTTGAAGGAGCGGGGGCCACTGCACGCCGTGCGCGGCGTCGAGGTCCACGATGTGCACGCGCCGCGCGCCGGCGGCGGCCTCCAGGATCGCCTGGTTGGCCGTCAGGTGCGCGAAGCGCAGGAACGGCGCGATCTTGTTGTACGCCAGGTGCGCCGCGGACGACGCCGGCGCCACGCCCACGCCCACGGCCGCTGGCGGGCCAACGCTACTTCGTCCCTCGTCGGCCCGTAGCGCGAGCGCGCGCGCGAAGTGGTGCGCGAGGCGGTCGGCCGCGTCTCCCCGGGGGTCGGCACCGGAGAGCGCGGCGCCCGCGGCGCGCCGTGCCCCGTCGAGGTCCCCGCGGTGCAGCAGGTCGGCGCACGCGAGGACGAGCCCTCTCGGCGAGGCGGCGGCGACCGGTGCGCGCGGCGGTTGGGCGGCGTCGTCGTCGGGCTCGGGCGGGTCGAGCATGGCGTCAGCAGCAGTAGCAGGCGGTGGGCGCAGCGCATGGCTCGGGCGGCTTAATAGCAGCGCGGAGGCGGAGGTGGCCGCGGCATCTTCTGAGCTTGCTGCTGCCCCAGCGGCTTCCGTGACAGAGGGACATGATCGATCATCTGCAACACGCGCACACACTACAGGTGTTCCCTTCCACCAGTAGACTATGCAATAGGTTAGTACTCTACAGAGAGAGAGAGAGATAGAGAGTTTTCCTCTCTTTCTAGGAGGGGGGAGGAGAGAGAGAGAGACGAGAGAAAAGGTAGCGTGCAACTTTGCATTTGTTGTCTTTTATCCCGTGGACTTTGGTGGGGGGATGGTCAAGATGTTCTTCTGTATCTTTTGAGATATTATTATATGTTATATAATTGATCTAATTTTTATGATTTGTGGATTAAACAAATAAGGCTAGGCTAGTAGAAAGCTTACCTTGTTAGATCATGAAAGTAAGCTCGAGTTCAAATTTTCCTGATATGAACAGTAACATTTAAAAGATCTGGTTTATTTGGTGGCAAACATTAAAAATGTTTGAAATGCTTACAAAGTTTCATCATGAATTCACATTTGTGAAAGTCGGGCACAAAAAAAAGCTCCAAAATGTGTTTGAAAGTAGCATTTTTGGAGCATTGATTGTTCTGCCACAACTTCCACAAATGCAATTCTAGGATCAAACTTTTCGATAACCCGAAACACTCCTTAATGTTTCCATAATTTATTACATTTTTCTGAATTTATTGTTCATCCGGGACTACATGCACATGGTTAGTCAAAATACATGCACAAAATAGAGGGAGAAACACACTATTTTTTGCAAGAATGGAGCCTAGAAAACACAAGAATTTCCTTTGTTCTTGTATGTCACAAAAACAGAATCAGAATGGACATGTTGGATCTATGTGCGTTCTTTATGAAATGTGTATGCTAAAAATTCTATAAATCTTTAATAGCACAAATCCCTTGGCTGGAAAATGAAAGAGAGTGCTCAATTATATAGAACTGAAACCCTCCTCCTGTTAAGGGGCCATCATTTTTCTTGAGGTGTCTTAGCGGCAAAATTTTTTTAGGTAATCTTAGGAGCAATAGGTTTTATATTCGCAAAGAGCTTTTGACCAGTTCAGGTCTCATATAAACCAGGTGAGACCCGCCCTGATGGATGACATGTGGCATTCACAAATCACAAAGCATCTAATCTCTCCCCCCTGATTTCAGGTGGGGGTGGGGTAGATGCTTTGTGATTTGTGAATGCCACATGTCATCTATCAGGATGGGTCTCACCTGCTAACCCGTGAGACCTGGTCTCATATAATTTTTTTCCGTTCCAGCACCTAGCCACAACAAATTCATCGTCCACACATGCATCATGATTCATGCAAGGTCCTACTAATTAATTATAAGTTACTACAATACCAAGCCTATACGAGACTACATACAGCCACCATACAATGCATGCATGGCAGGAAAAGGTACCCAGTTTCTCTCTCTTCTCTTCCACAATAAACACACATTGTTATTTCATCTTTGCTCATTTTAATCATTCATATATTTTCAACCATAATTCTGTTATTAAAACTTTTTATATATTTGAACTCCTAGCCCCAAAACCATTGGAATAAGATCAATTTTGGATACATTTCAAACATGTTTAATTTCAATGTTTCAATCTGCATATGTCAATCAATGAGTGAAATTGGTCTTCAATTTCAGTGAAGTTATTTTTTGAAATGAGTGAAACATGTTTTTTTCAAAAGGAGTGAAGGTTTCCAGTGAAATTAGTTTCTTTCAGAAGAGTGAACTTTTGAAATTATTTTAAAAAAGTGAAATATATTATGACATTATTAGAATGTACTAAATCATTTTGTTTTAAATAGTGGAGTATTATCCGAAATAAGTGAAATAGTTTCTGAAAATAAGTCTAAAATAATTAAAATGGTTTTTTGAAAAAATTGAAATTGGATTCTTGAATTGAGTGATATATCTTGTGAATCTAGTTCTTGAAATGATTGTTTGAAATATTTTGAATATGTTTTTTTAATGAACTGAAATCTACATTTTGAAATGACTGAAATAGTTGAAGTGAAAGAAATCGATTGAAACATTAAAATTGAAATGTGTTTAGAATATATTCAAGATTGGTCTTGTTTTAAAAGTCTGGGTACCATGAGTTCAATATACAAAAATTGCAAAAACAAAATTATGGTTTAAAAAGATACAAATTATTGAAATTAGCAAAGATGAAAAAAAGTGCATTTATTGTGTGAGAGACCAGGGATGAAACCTGTCTCATCCCTGCCATGCATGCATGTATACCACTTCAAAAAACTTCCAAACCATGAATACCTTTCTTTCTGAACATAGGCTCTCATACCATATGCACATACACTTACCCCTATAAATACATGCACATGCACCCTACCCCTATGAACGTCTACGACAGAATGATCCGGCATATCATCTTCGATTGACGAAGTCGTCATAGACACCTTCTAGTCAGTGAGAACGTTTCCTCCCACTGAACACACATCGCCAAAAGGCTTGAAAAATATTCAGGAAAACCCGAGCACCAGTGTCAAGTCTGAGACTTGAACCTTGGTGGGCTAGGGATACCACTGGGTGTGCCTATTTTCAGTCATTTCGAACGATCTAATTTCCATCTAACGCATGTGAGGAGAGTCGTGGTATTTCTATAAAACCCGTAATTGCTTCACATGTGCACAAAACCCATTAGCCTTTCTAGACTAGTCTCATTCATCTCACACCTCATCCAAACAAATAGGAATAATAAATCTGGGTGAAAGCAAGCATATCATTAATTATATATATAAATGCGATGATTTTTTCAAGTTTGTGAACATATATTATAATTTGTTTTGGATCTGTTGAAAGGCACAAACACTTTGCTAGTTAACACAGTAGTTGTGAGAAGTGATTTTAACACATTCTAGCCCATAAGATCCTTTTTGCGTTTTGCTTATGCACAATTGTCGAATACATTGGCCAAAGGCAGTTTTAATCTCCCTGAAAATAAAATTTCAATAAAGATCATACACACTCTAAAACATTATATATACACTGCAACATTAGTTGGAAAGTATCAAGTTGGGTAACCAATTAATCGTCTACTTAACCACTCTGTTTGCAAATTATATTGACGAAATACAATGTGTGCTAAGATCACATGAACTAAATTAAATAGATATTTATAGGGCTTTAAAACAAATCCAGGAAAACATGCTTATATATATGATTGAGTATTAGGTGCAAAATTTAATTTATATGCAAAGTATTGCAAGTTTGCACCTTTTGAAAAAGGAGCAAGTTTGTGTAATATATCACATTTAATGCAAATGAATTGTTAGAGTGTCTCCAACAGAATGTGTGTTAGCTGGTTAGTAAAACTAGTCATATGATCTACCAATATGTTACGCCCCCACCTATGACAGTCAGTAACCAGCCATTGTCGGGCAAGGTGACCAAGGTCTAGAGCCCGCCACTACTAGGAGGAGTACCCGGGTGCCAAGGCCCAAGGTTAAAGGCTGATCACTGATACGTCTCAAACATATCTATAATTTATAAAGTATTTATGCTATATTTACATCGAAGATATATGTATTTGGCACAATATTTATTTGGGCTAACCTATTAATTCAGTGCCAGAGGCTAGCTCATGTTTTCTATTGTTTTAGGGGTTTTATGTGAAAAATTCACGAAGCTAGAAATGTGCTAATTATTTTTGTGATTTTTTATGAAATATATCAGATTTTTGGCAAACGGATCATCGTAAGGCAGTGCTCGAGGGCCCCACACGGCCTCGTGGAGCGGGTAAGCCCCTGGCCGCGCCGTGGGCCCATGTGGAGCACCCTTAAGTCGGTAGGAGCCGTTCTTTCGCTGCAAGAAAACTAATTTACAAAGAAAAATGTGTTAAAGTTTCAGCCGGATCGAATTATGGATCTTTTGATGTTTAAGAAACAATGCTTGGCCAGAAAACAGAAGCGAAAACAGGAAACAAACAAGAAAGATCCAATCTTGGGGAGAGCTCCCTCTCTCCCTGGATATGGGGCCCCTTCCCCCTTTTCTCCGCTGGCATCAGGGCGCGCAGGGGACATCTCCGGTATCACCATCACCAACAACTCTTGCTCTATTCCCATGGTGATGTGTGAGTAGTTTATCCTCAGGGCTGAGAGTATGTACTAGTGGCTATATGTTCAATCTCTCTCTCTCTCTCTCTCTCTCTCTCTCCCATGTTCATGAAAGATTGTGATCTTGATTGTATCATGGGATTTATCAATATAGTTGGATCATGTGATGTTCATCCCCTTCTTTTATTTTTATGGTGAGCTGAGTATTGCTCTTTGAAATTTATTTATGTTGGATTGAATAGTTTGGAGTTGAGATAGCATGATGCATGTCTAGTCATTAACTTGCGGATACGTGTGGTGACATTGGAGTAATTTATGCATAAAGGTTGAGCGATAAGTATCATATGATGTCGTCGTAAGACAATTCGAGGGACTACATGTGGCGATCATATGGGCGGTTCAACCGATTAATATTGGAAATATGACTTTGAGGTGGTTTGTAAGTGCACCTTACGCGATTTCATCCTACTTTATTTGACAAAATAGAAACTTTGGAGTAATTCTTTGCTGCACTTTTGAGGTCATATCATGTGGTTCAATTATGTTAATGATGTTGAGAGTTGACACTAGCGAAATTAAGAACCCTAGGCCTTGTTTCCAAGCATTGAGACACCGTTTTATTCACTTTCTTACTTGCTACCTTGCAGTTTTTATTTATTCAGATTATAGAAAAACTATTCATACCATCCATGTTACACATATATCACCATATATCCCTTCGCCGAATAAGTGCACCTATACGATTGACAACTCTATTGGGTGTGTTGGGCATAAGAAATTACTTGTATTTGATTGCAGTGTTGTTCAAAAGAGAACCATTTTCATCCTACACCTCCCACA